ATCAAAGCAGAACTTGTAGGATGCTCGACCGAAACATTTATTTTTATTTTATTTTATAAATACACTCGAGGTGCACCAGAGCAAAGAAATAAAAGAAGATCCAAACAAACAATGAGACCAGCCAGTCCTCAGCCGCAAGAGAAGATAAAAGAATATACGGAATGAAACAGAACTCGAAGCTCTAGACCCAGCTTGTAAAGTTGGACGAAAGTAACTTGATCAAAAATAATCACATGAATCTTGCACACTCTAAAATCAAAGATGCCCCGTTTTTGGGTGTCAACGAGCCCGCCGGTAAGGCTAGCTGACCTGACCCCATTAAAGATTAAATTTTAGAGGAAGCAAGATTTAGATTAAGAGTGGCAGAGTAAACATCTACCAACTACTCCGGAAGGCCCTTCATTAGGCGGACACAAGAGTGCCCTAGATGGGAAACTAGGCTTCGTTTAGGCATTAAGGTGTGATAAAACTTCTGACGAATGAGCCGGGCTGGTTCAGTTGTTAGTTAATGATGCTTAAGGTTAGTAACAACCAATAAATAAAACCAGGCTACAGATTCAAGCTGCAACTGAAGAACACCAGGACTCGGCTCCGAAAAATGACCGTGCGGACCGAAAACCGACATGCTAGTAATACCAACAGCCATAAAGCCAAGAAGAGAAAGAGATGGCAACTGAAAAACGACAAAATTAAAATCATTCCAAAAAGCTTAGGGATGAAAGCTGTGTGTCAGCTCTCATAAACTTAGCCCTGAAGGAACGTGCAGTCTGAGAACACATAACATCCATAGGCAACCGCTGAAACCATCTAGCAGACCTGCAGAATATGTTACTGTGCATTTTTGCAAGATTGTGCTTTTTGACTTTGGCGTAATGCAAATTAAATCCTTCCGACCTTTCACTAGCTGGCATGAATATCCAATATTTTACTTGCCTTCAACCGATTTTCACCCTTCAAAACTTGAAAACAAAACGCTAAATCTGAGAGATTACGACGAAACGAAAGACTATGTAATTTGAACATTCTAAGCCGTACATTATAACCTGGTATACTGTCATCAGAATAGAGTCGCCTGTACAAGAGACGCGTGAATGTTTTTTTGCACTTTTTCTATTTTACAAATATCTTTTTTCCGGGCAGGATTCCAAACTTGGGAGCAATATTCTAGATAGGGGCGAATGAGGGCTTTGTAGAGACGCGTCACTAGTGCAGGCGAGTTACTCCTTACGGTGCGCAGCAGCACGAATAGGGAGGTGAGCACTCCAGTCCCTAGCTGAGCCGCATGACCTCAACGCAAGATCCTCAACCACATAAATACTGCACAACCATTTCCTATATGCAGTACGCAACTCTTGTCAAGATTGAGTGTTAAATTCCAAGTCGTTGCCCATTCAACCAGATTGGAAAGAGACAATTGTAAAGCTGACTGAACCTCAATTCGATCTTCTACATCGTACATTCCATATATCTTTATATCATCTGCATACATTTGCACTTTAACCTTTTGAGAAGTATGGAGTAAGTTAGGCAACTCCATAGTATAAATGAGAAATAATATAGGCGATAAAACTCCTCCTTGAGGAACACCACTTGCACAAGAATAGGTATCCGAAAATCGGTCATGAACTCTTACAGTCATATAGCGGTTGTGCAGATACGAATCAAACCATGCGAGCAGCGGGTCATCAACGCCTATCATTTTGAGTTTCTTTACTAGCATATCATGACAGACCTTATCAAATGCTTTAGATGAACCAATATGAAGCACATCCACACTTTTTTACTATTTAAGGCAAGAGTCGAGTTATAAATACTGTCAACCAAATTTGTTGCCGTCGAGGCACCATTGATGAAACCATGCTGCTCAGCAGGGACCATGCCAGCTTTATCAAGCCAGACACAAACTTATCTCTTATACACTTTTCCATGATTTTTGCAGGTGTAGGTAGCAGGCTAATAGGGCGAAAATCCCTCACCCGCCTAGCGCCCTGGCCCTTAGGGACAGGTGTTACAAGGGCGTGCTTCCAAAGTGCGGGTACCTCTCCTAATAACATGGATATGTTGAAAATATGTGCTAATGGTGTGGCCAGAGATGAGGAACACTTCTTGTATACAATCTGAGATATGCCGTCATATGTTTCAGTAGCGGAGTTTTTGAGGTGCTTCAAGATTCGGCAGACTTCATGCGATTCAAAGAAGATTGAGGACAATTTCCCTCGCACATCATGAATATTGCCAACATCAGTTGCACTACTGTCCGTAGAAGTGAAGACGCTAGCAAAACAGGCTCCAAGAACTTTTGCCTTCTCTTCATCACGGAAAAATCGAGCACCAAAGTCATTTTCGAGGGTGGGGAGGTTAGAATTTGGCTTCATCTTAGCTCTGATGTAAAGGAACAGGCTTCGCGCTGATTTCTGTGCAAGCCGACGCTCAGGATTAGACAAAAACTTTCGCATATGAAACTCAATGTCGGAACAAACTTTTCTGTAAAGATCGTTGTGCAAAGGATCAGGCAGGTCATCAAAAAGACGAAATTTCTGCAAATTCAGGGATTGTATATGTGTAGGTACTTTGGCTATGACAAGACCACGAGCTTTGAAAGGAACAAATAGAGCAAAAGCTTCATTAAGTATTTTGCAAAACCTCCTATATACATCAGAGCAAGATTCATATCCATTAAAATGAGAAAGCCAATCGATTCCAGAATGGTATTCGTTCAATGCTTTGTAGTCGACATTATGAAAATCGGGCATTAGAAAAGGAAGGGATGCCGTGATGGAACATCACGCACCCCTCAAAACTAACTATCCCATGGTCCGAAGACTCAACCGGGGGATGAACATTCACATGGAGAGGCTCAACAGCAGAGGAAAGAACAAGATCAAGGATGTGATTGCCATGAGTGGGCGAAGACACAAATTGTTCGAATTGATTTTCAACAAAATAGGTTAGAAATGATGTAGACGCACTGTTCAAAGGTTTGAGATCCATCCAGTCTACTTGTAAGTTAAAGTCTCCAAGTATAATAGATTCACTGTGATCACAACCCAAAGCAAAATGATTCATCATATCTAAAAGGCACTCATCATCTGTTTTGCTAGAGCTCGGTGGGCGGTAAATGGCCAAAAAACGCAATCGATTAGGTTTGGAAGGATGAATAACGTCCACTATAAGCACATCTGATAACATCGTATAGTTGCACTCGATACGATTAGCAACTATGTTTCATTTACAAGACAACACACCCCACCGCCTCTGTGTCTACATCTATCTTATATATAAAGCTGAATGTCTGTTTGTATGTCTGTCTGTCTGTATGTCTGTATGTATGTACGTATGTTCCGAATAGAAAATTCCATTTCTTAACCGATCCGGACCAAACTTGGCACACATACACTTCGGGCCCCGGCGGGTGTCATAGGCTACTTTTCGTATCGATTTTATCGATTTTTATCGATTTTTTTGCTGAGTTCACCTACGGGGCTGGGAGTTGACACAGGGGGGTAATCGAGCATGGGGATTCCGAATACAATATTGGTTTTCAGGATTATCGATTACTTTTATCGATTTTATCGATTTTTTTGCAAAGTTTGAGCTAGGGGGCTGGGAGTTGGCACAGGGGGGTAATCGAGCATGCTGATCATCCCCAAGGGGGGTGATCAGCATGCTCGATTACACCATTTTCGATTATCAAATCGAAAATGTCTGTTAGAACTTGCATTCTCATAGTTACTGTAACATGCAACAATATAGATGTATTCTCTCCATCACTGTAGCATGCAACAGTACATTTGTGTTCTCCCAGGTACTGTACGATGCAACAGTATAACTGTATTCCCAATTAGTGTAGCATGCAACAGTATAGGTGTACTCTTAACACCACTGTAGCATGCAACAGTATAATTGTATCCTACTAAGTACTACTGCATGCAACAGTATAGTTGTACTCTCTCCATTACCGTAGCATGCAACATATAGCAGTATTCTTCCAGTTACTGCAGTATGCACAACATGGTTGTATTCTCCCTGATGTAGCATTTAATTGGAAGTTGTACTGCAGTTGTATTCTTCCGGTTACTGTAGCATGCAACAGGATACCTAGTGACTCTTCAGATTCGCAAGCGTCGTTGTTGCGTGCCAATGTGTTCCTGCATACAACAAGGTTGTTCGTGTTTGCCAGCGCTACAGTTCTCGTCATGTCAATGTGCCGTTCAACAAGTAATTCAGCTTTTATGTTGTAATTCTCGCATTACGATAGTCATACGGTAATGAACATTACAGTGCGCTCCGAAGTGTCAATCCGCTTGCATAAGCACATGCCCTATGCCAGTCTGGCAATGCCAACGAATGTGTGGAAACACTTGCATAGCGTCGTGTAGTCCACAGGTTTGTTAATTTTCAATTTTTACTCTTCCGTTTAAGAAATTATTTTGCAGGCTTCTTCATGTGTACAACAATGCGAGATCGCTTGTCGAGGACAACCGAATGAAGCTGCTTGCCTTCAATCTTGCCAGGCTGGATGGTAAGTTAGAGCAAATATCGGATTATCCCAAGAAATTGTGTGCGCATCGGAGAAGGTAAAGAAACATAAAAACTGCTCGGAAGTTATTGTTATGTGCAGCAGGCGTCGAATACTTGTGTGCATAAATGATTTGGAAAGTACGGAAAAATTCTGCGAATAGCTGGCACATAGTGCAGATCTTGGGCAGAAAGGATATTAAGGAAAGAATTAGATAGACTTTGAGCGATATTGTATCTATATCAGAGTTTTACCGTATCATTATCGTATATCTCCCTTTTATAGCGCTGAACCTTCGTTACCGACGACAATCTACAGTCCACCAAGCATCCCAACTACCGCACCAACTACTGTGCCACCCACACTGCCACCGGTTACGCTGCCACCCACTACCCTACCCCCCATCACCATGCCACCCACCACTATTCCCACCCTTCCACCCATTACCATTCCAACCCTCCCGCCCACCACCATTCCCACCATGCCACCCACTCCACCACCGACCCTTCCGCCAACTCCACCACCCACAACCACAACAATGGCGCCAATCACCTATCCTACCGTGCCCATCACCTACCAGCCAATCACGCCTACTGTAAGTTTACTGTACTCTAAGCTTGTCCATAGTAATACCGTATATTTCAGCCAACTCCTTACTACGATCAGGATCCATGCCAACAGTGTATGGGAGCATGTATGAACGAGTGCGCAGCTGCGGGACAGCCTCAGCAACAGTGTGAAGAGGCTTGCGCTCGAAATTGTGCATCAGCGTGCGGTGCAGCCAGCACGACACCTTCGCTTTACCAACCGGTGAGTATATTCACCTGCAAGTTTCTAGAAAAAGTCTTGTAAAGTTAAGGGGCCGGGAAGATAGATGAATTGTAACTTTTAAGAATTTTTAGATGAATTTGTACGAGATACACCATTAAGGGGCGCGGCTTGCCTCAGAAATTGATGGTCTTATTCTTTACAGTACCCACAAGATCCGTGCAGTCAGTGTCAAACAGCTTGCATGGAAGCATGCCAACAACAAGGTGGAGAGAACTGTCAACAACAATGTGATGTACAATGCCAATCAGTTTGCGGAACTACGGTAAGTATACTGTATTCTCACCCTTGTGAGGCAAAGGCTAAACTTTTGCATTCCAGACTACTCAGCAAGTTTGCATGCCCGCATGCCAACCATCTTGTGCTGTATCGTGCATCCAAGGACAGCCAGCAGTAAGTTACATTACAGTAATCCTATAGTACTCCCTTTCCATGTCCGACCTTTTCATTCTAGCAGCTTGTGCTGACTGTAAATGTACCCGTTTCTGCGTTTTCGCCAAATTGCCTGCCGCAATGTCAACAGACTTGCAACGCACAATGCATAGATCAGAATACAGTACGGTCAAACTACCACCACAGCAAACCGCACAATCAATCGATAAACATTCCAGGCATCACAATGCGCACCAGCGTGCGCATCATCATGCGCTAATTCGTGCCAGTTGTCCGGAATGATCTCCTGCCAACCGCAAGGAGCGGGTTGCTCGTGTCCACTACGCTATCGCAGATGCAAGAGGACGATGTGCTGTCGCAGAACATAGGCTCATCAGCATAGACGGTGATATGTAGCCCCTCATGGGTATTTGTATATTGTTTCGAGGTACTATGAGTGCCGACTGGAACTGCCATGTGAATGTGAACTGCCTTCTTTTTGCCTTTTTGTTTCGCTACAGTTGTGTGTGTTTGCCATTCTTTGCCATTTGCCCTACATCCGTAAATTCTGGAAGAAAAAAGTGCTGCACAAGTGCTTGTTTGGTCCGCAGTACGAGATTACCATTGCAATACGCTTTTGCGAGAGAGTATACACAAGGACATTTCCGGGAAAGAGGAGCTAGGTAGAAATTCACTTTGAAACTAATCTACATTGATCATTGATAAATTGAATCTCTAAACTAGAGATTAATCATTCTCCAACTCGTTTTCTTCTGTTAAGATAGCAGCTATGTCTATAAGGTGACAAGTTTACGCCTTTCCTGCTGAATGACCAAAAATAAGTATACCTAACAGCAAGAGACTGAATCGTGTGATCATTATGCTGAGGTAAATGACACAAATGATAATTTGAAATATTTCTGGGGACTTGCTCTAACATTGTGCACCTTTCTCATCCAAGCATACGCTGAATTTGGCATCAGCACTCGTTTGGCGGCTCATCTGGGTGCTTTCCACTAGTTACAAAAAAGTGTTGCCTCAGCCGATTCATTCAAGTCCAATTCAAGTCCAGAGAGAATTGTGGCATGTTAGCTTGAAATCAGTCAATTTGATTGGGAGATTCAACACGTTAGTGATGAGATCGAATGAAAAGCAGGACAAAAAGAGTCAAAAAATGTTAAATCTCCCAATCACATGCTTTGCCTTGTTTCACGCGATTCTCATTTGGAAAAAAATTTCACCCGAACTTGGTAGAATCATCGCTACATCAAGTACATAAAAGGAGGAATGCGCATGTTTAGCTTACGATGATGTACAATGTTGAGGCAGATAACGTGACCCGCTATTGTTACCCACTTACCGTAAATTCACCTCACGTCGTAAGTTAGACTTGTGCCAGCGTGGTCTCATGCTTACCAGCCAGTGACACTTTCATTCCCAGAACATAAAACGGAGGTGGTGTCATCCTATCCCTATTCCGAGTGACAGCTCAGTTCAGCTATGCCATTGAGTTTCCATGAAGAATCCTCATGCATTCTGTTCATTCTGTTTTTGATTTCAAAAAAACTGGAAAAACAGAGACAAAAATTACAAAATTTTATTGCGCTGCAAAGAGATGGAGCTGCAAAAGCTAACCACATTTAGATATTTTTGGTGAAGACATGTTGGGAGAGTGAGGATACGAAATCCACCACGAGAGTGGCAGACATTAGGATAGCCATTTTTTTCCAACAAGAAAGCGTTAGAGATATCGTATGGAGGAATTTCGGCCATAGAGAAGGATCGCAAATCGGCTATCATTGAAATTTTGGAGTCGTTCATCTGGCACATGAAAGTTTGATGAGGCAGACAACCGCAAAGTCGTGATATGGCGCGCTTCGAAACCTGCATGCATTAACTTCAATCCCTGCAGCACTAACCATTCGACCATTTGGTCAATGGTTATCGAAGCCCAGCAGTATGAGGAACGCAGAGGTAAGTGACCGCTTGTAAGAGGGCATGATCTATTTGCGTGAGCGACTTTGACCTGAGAGACAGCTGATTGTATGAGCAAGAGAGGGGCGAAATCAGTGCAAACGAGATTTGGAAGGGGCTTGCAAAAAAGAGTGTTTTTTACGGTTTTCTGATATAAATAAATTTCCTTCTATAATAATAACATCGACTCAAGAGCGGAAAACTTGCATAATAAGAAAATAAAAGTTTTTTCCATAAAAAGTGAGATTTCTGATTCTTTCGCCTGACGTTTGCGTCATATTGTCGCATCACCCATTTTCACAAACGCCGTCGGGAAGGACCTTAACATGGTATGGGCACGTCAAAATGTTGTCAACTTTCGCTTTCAAGGCATGCCATTTCTGCCATCTCACAAATTTCGACGAGATGCCGGCACTTCTCCTGCGCATCCAAATACTTTCACACTGGAGACGTCCTGAAACCTCAAGTTTTGAGCGAGTCTCTATAGAGTCGTGGTGGCATTTCCATTCAAAAAATTTCTTGGAAAAAGGCCTGAAAAGGCAACTTGGGATTTTAGCTTCTGACGACCTGCGGCAAAGTGCCGGCGAGGTGCCGGCGAGACCCGCCGTCAGGTCGGGAGATTACTGCCGGCCCAGGTGCAGCAGCAATCAAAATAGCTATATGCAAGCTTCCAGTCGATATACTATATTTAATTTCTGATCAGGTCCATGTTTCAGATACGACCAGTCGGTTATCAATGTACTTTTGGCAAATTCCTACAATTGCAACCCAGAAAAATACGTTGTGAGCGAAGGAGACGTTGCACAAGCTTACACAGGGGGGCTGGTGAATACTCAGAAGTAAAGATTAATATAATACATTGCACTACTAGCGATACGAAAGCTTGGTGAGCCCCTCACTACTTGTTTTTCTTTTTTTTGTTTACACTGTGATTTTTAGTCACGGGTAAGCGAGATATTTTTGAAATTTGTAAGGCAAATGCGTATTTACTTGCTAGGTTGTTACATGCTTAGGGGTGTCGATGTATGTGCCTTATCTCTGCCGTCTATATGCTCTTTGATACGGATACATAGTGAACGCGCTGTTTCTCCTATGTATTCCTCGCCGCAAGTCGTGCATGAGACTAAGTAGATGACTCAGTTGCCATGCAATCCTCTTCTCTGCTTGAGGGATGACACAATTGCGATCATACAAGCGATTGTGAGATAAGATGGTTTCCAGGTTGTTTGGTGGTAGTTCAACGATCGTAACCAGATTCTCAAATCCTACTCTTCTCAAGCGCTGTCGCAATGATGCACTCATTTTTTTGGATATATTAGGTTGATGCAAAAATAATGAGCGTTTACCTAGGGCTTTTTTAGGACATCTTTTCTCCATCAAACTTCTTTCTTTGAAACGGTTTCAGAACACTATCAGAAAGCTCTTTTCATGCTCTATCTAAAGGTGTTCGAAAAAGGGGCTTCTAGCCCATTCTGTCAAGAATTTATAGAGCTTCAAATAATCGAAAAACCAGATTTTCTTTGCATTCACTTTTCTGGCCAAAATTTGAGCGCAATTGAAGGTGCTTTTTCAAAAATTTACCGGCTACATATAATGGAAGTTGTCTACATTATGCATACTCAAACATAAAGTTATCTAAAGTGAGATGAGAGCATGCCATTTTTCGTGTTCTCTGACCTGCCAACAGCTGCCATCTCACAAATTTCGACGAGATGCCGGCACTTCTCCTGCGCATCCAAATACTTTCACACTGGAAGCTTCCTGAAACTTCAAGTGTTTTGAGCGTGTCTCTATAGAGTCGTGTTGGCACCTTCATCCAAAAAATTTCTTGGAAAAAAGCCTAAAAAGGCCTAAACTTGGGATTTTAGCTTCTGACGACCTCACGGCAAAGTGCCGGGATTTTAGCTTCTGACGACCTCGCGGCAAAGTGCCGGCGAGGTGCCGGCGAGACCCGCCGTCAGGCGGGAGATTACTGCCGGCCCAGGTGCAGCAGCAACTAAAATAGCCATATGCGAACTTCCAGTCGATATGCTATATTTAATTTCTGATCATGTCCGTGTTTTAGATACGACCAGTCGGTTATCAATGTACTTTTGGCGAATTCCTACAATTACAACCCAGATACGTTGTGAACGAAGGAGACGTCGCACAAGCTTACACAGGGGAAAATCACTCGGAAGAAGACTTTGCTTGCTGGTGAATACTCAGAAGTAAAGATTAATACATTGCACTACTAGCGATGCGAAAGCTTGATGAGCCCCTCACTACTTGTTTTTCTTTTTTTTGTTTACACTGGGACTTTTAGTTGCGGGTAAGCGAGATATTTTTGAAATTAGGCAAATGCGTATTTACTTGCTAGGTTGTTACATATCTTAAGGAGAGCTCATATCGAATAAATGCTTTTTTAATCATTACCTGAGAAATTTAGCCAGGGTAAAACTGATTCCTTCTCTCAAATTCTCAACTTCTCACAAATCCTTTCGTAATCTGGCAAAATAAGCAACAAAATGGTCAGCGGGTACTTTAATTGGTGTTTTTTTAATTAAATAATGCGACTTTCAATGAATCTCGGCAAGATAGTATTATTTTGTTCTTCCTTCTTAAGCCATACACGAGATTGGTAATCGACTTATTTGATCCACGGCTAACGTTTCGGCAGATCGCCTTCGTCAGAGCCTGTAAGGGACAATACGATCTGCATCCAATTCGAACCGGTACCTCCACCGCTGAACAGACGAAATGCTAGGCCTCGTTTTCAATCACTAGATCAGCTGCACGGTCAAGCACGTACCCTGTGGATTACGCCGATACTCCTCTTCAGAGAAAAAGTTGGATCATGAAGTCCGGTGATAGTGAAAATTTGCCTTGTTAGACGTGCATGTAGACCGCTACTTATACACTACCAGATCAGAATAACTGATCTAGATAAGGAGAAAGTTCATATGTAATCGCTAAGGTTTCTTCTTTTCGGTTCATTTTTGGGTTTTCTGGCATGAATCCAGAACGCTTCCAAACACTGACGTGCTTGTGTTTGAGATTCATAGGCCAAGATTCTCACAGAAATCTCAAAGTTTGATCCTGCATGTTGCGCTACTCTGTGGGTGCCTAGAGGTTTCGATGTACGTGCCTTATCTCTGCCATCCATATGCTCTTTGACACGGATACATAGTGGACGCGCTGTTTCCCCTATGTATTCCTCTCCGCAAGTCGTGCATGAGATTAAGTAGATGACTTCAGTTGCCATGCAATCCCCTTCTCTGCTTGCAGGGCAGATTATGCAATTCGGGGTGACACAATTGCGATCATACAAGCGATTGCGAACTAAGATGGTTTTCAGGTTGTTTGGTGGTAGTTCAGCGATCGTAACCAGATTCTCAAATCCTACTCTTAAGCAGTGTCGCAATGATGCACTCATTTTTTTGGATATATTAGGTTGATGCAAAAATAATGAGCGTTTTCCTAGGGCTTTTTTCAGGACAACTTTTCTCTAACAACCTTTCGCAACACAGCGCACTTTAGGTCATACTCATATCTCATATGGGCAGAAAAATATGGATTGAAAACAAAAAAGTTTTTTTAAGTCGTGTTTTTGACGAAACATAACTCATTTCACACTTTGTTATTATAAATTATAAGCAGTCTATCTTGTAGCTGCAAGCTAGTGGTATAAATACATTAGGAAAGGGCTTGGAGAAAAAGAATTAGCGAAGAGGAAAAATCGAAATTCAAAAATATCAACTTTTCCAGCATTTTTTCAGTAGGCGCCTCAAAATCCCTAAGTATAGAATTTTCCAAATTTCTGCGTACTAAACGGATAGATGTTTTTACTGAAACTGTCAACAGGATGCCCTACCCTCGCGCTTACGGAGAGCAAAGTTTGAGCGACTGCTTTCTAGAAAAGGAAGTTATGCGCTCTAAAATGACTACAACTATTACCCATGTTAAGCCGCCGATATCTCACTTTAGATAACTTTATGTTTGAGTATGCATAATGTAGACAACTTCCATTATATGTAGCCGGTAAATTTTCAAAAAAGCACCTTCAATTGCGCTCAAATTTTGGCCAGAAAAGTGAATGCAAAGAAAATCTGGTTTTTCGATTATTTGAAGCTCTATAAATTCTTGACAGAATGGGCTAGAAGCCCCTTTTTCGAACACCTTTAGATAGAGCATGAAAAGAGCTTTCTGATAGTGTTCTGAAACCGTTTCAAAGAAAGAAGTTTGATGGAGAAAAGATGTCCTAAAAAAAGCCCTAGGTAAACGCTCATTATTTTTGCATCAACCTAATATATCCAAAAAAATGAGTGCATCATTGCGACAGCGCTTGAGAAGAGTAGGATTTGAAGTACTCTGCGTTGATACCACTGCTT